GTAGTGTTTTGCTTCTGAAATCACTTGGAGAACTACGAGACAAAAATTGGGTCCCTTAGTACAATATAAAAAGATAATCATTATTTTTCTTTTGGTTTATCACAAATCAATAACCTTATTTACATAGCTAATTCGAAAACATATATTCTCCGCAATTCAGTACATACATAAATTGATTTGCAAATAATAATGTTAACATGAGCTAGCCTTTAAGCTATATTATTGTTCGATAGTAAAAACATTTTTCATTTATTTTAAAGTTTAGAAAATAAATAATATTATCATCGTTGAACAATCATTTAGCCTAAAGGCTAGCTCATATTAATTTAACACAATTCAAATAAATACTGCATTAACCTAAAGTATTAATTATTTAATTTTCACTTTTTTTTTTTTTTTAATTTATAAAATGAATAATGCAAATTAAATTAATTTTAAATGTTGTCCTTTGAGAAATGTATAGAATTATCTAACATCGTGTAAACATTTTGCGTACCCAATTTTTTTCTTAGTAGGATTTCAATATTTCTCTACTTCGTCTAAAATTAGGGTAATCATCGCTAATTAGTACTAGTTACGGAAATACTGGCCGACATGGTCGCGATTTTCGAACCGTAGGGTTTGGTTGGTCCATTTTGATAGTGCGAGCAAAAATAATATTACAGTCGCTATCGCGTGAGAAGATTGATTGGAATGAGCCCGTTCCAGTGGATACACACAAACGATGGTTTGAATATCGGACAAAATTATCAGCGTTAAATGGGTTATCGATATCACGTAAAATTACGAACAATATGAAATCATGTGCCATCGAAGTCAATGGATTTTCGGACACTAGTACAATGGTCAGCAGAGGGCCGCATGGCGCAAAGTAAAGAGGGTAGTTCGTACGTTGTGTCCAATTCCCTTCAAGGAAAATATCGAATAAAGGCTTTGTTATAATCCATAAAATTTAAATTTATTATGATATATTAAAAAAATAGTTATAATATGTGATGTTGGGTTGTCCTAATATAAAATATATTTATTATTATTCACTAATAAATAAAAATTATTTCAATCAATACAAAACACTTTTCTAAGTGTAATTTAAATAATAAATAATTTACTAGTAATGTAGTAATGTGCTAAAATACTTATCTTACGTTGGTAATATTAAAAAAAAATTGCCGAATTAAAGCAAAATAATTTAAAAGTGGTAAGAGTTTTAAAAGTATAAATTGAAGACATTATGAGACTAAGCTATTTTTGTTTTTATTAATTCAATTTTACTTAGTATACATTTAAATAACGTAAAATATCAAATAGTTAAATAATTTTATGCAGCAAAAACGAACAAAAATAAAAAAATGGTAACAATGCCTCAATATTATTTACTCGTCAAAAAAATTGTACTTCTTCATGGGTTTCTTAAGAAATCATACATAGTTACAATAATTAGGTTTTCATTAAATTTTGAACAATATATCGAATTATATAAGCTAATTATATAATCATATTAATTATATATCACAATATACATTACATACATTTATTTATCAATCATATAGAGTTAAGGACAACATTAATTTTTTAAAAGTTCATATTACTTCATATTGTTAATAATAAATAAGATATGTACAGTGCACATTGTACACACTATTACTTAATAACACTTGTATAATATAAAGGAGCATTCAGTTTATTGAGTTCATGGATTCAGATTTTTGAAGCTGCATATAAAATAGGCTTTCAAAAAACAAAATATTTAACACTTGAGTAAAATTTATGATGCATGCCCCTATGTTTCCTTTAAAAATATTTTTAAATATAATTTGATGTACTATAAGAAATTTCGTTTAATTTTTATGGATTTTAAATTAAATACTAATTGATGGATTGAATATGTCAAATCAGTTGCTTTAACTTGTTTTGATTAGTTATTATACCCAAAGGCTACAAGGCAATATATTTACAATTCACTCGGAAAACTACCAAAAAATAATATATTAGAACAGTATTTTTTCATAAAATACTATTTTTTTAATAATTTAACAATTATTGTTTACACCATTAGTCAGTAACTGAAATAAAATATGCGTGAAAAGATAATTTTTTAAAGTTGATAAATTGATTTGTGTTCAATTTTTTTAGGAATCAGATTCTTAGCAAATAAAATAAAAATATAAGCTTTTAAAATATTATATGTTAATAAATATTACTATATAAAATTATTTTAAAATTCAACGCTAAATTTAAATCAAAATCAATTCACAAAATGTGAATTTTAATATTTGAATATTAAAAATTATTTCCTACAATATTTTTTATGAATTAAAGTATTTACAAGATTAATATCAATACAAATAAAAAGATAAATAATAATAAGCAAAAGAAATGATGATATGAATAATTTGTTACCTAATAGTTTAAAATATTAAAAATTAATAATACTTACACGCAAAAAATCTTAAAGCATATTTTAGAATAATTTAAGAGCTAATCAATTAATAAAAACTAATAATTTTTAACGGAAAATGTTAGTAATCGAGTTTTGAAATGTATACCTTGGATACGGTGATTGTAAGTGCGGATAGTTTTTGAGTTTATTGAATATTTTTTGTATTACGAACGTTTTGTTTTTAAATTTTTATCACGACTAAAAAATATCAATAACTCTGATAACAGTTAAACCAATTCAAGTCGCTATATATTATACATCGTGCGTTTCAATTTCTTTATTACATTCCGAACTATATTATTATAGTAATTATTATTATCAAATATTTTACGTGATTTTTATGGCAAATTGTACAGTATTTGTTTTATCGTAATAATGAAATGCCTAAACAGTAAAAGTTATTAATCCGAACATAACGTAAACGTAAAATTAAAAACTGTTCATCGTCCGCATAAGAAACGTACTGCCACTGCGCGAACGGTACATTTGATCGGTGATCGGTAAGCTGAGGTTGAACGCCGGTGGGACAGGATTTCTTCTTCGGTTTGTTCGGTAACGGGTTTCAACAGATAAATCGCTGCAAGGGTCACAACTCGAGATGTTCTATTCATTTTTTTCAGATGACGCACGTCGGCATAAGGTTCGTGCGATGCCGATTCATTTATAACGAACGTCATCTGCGATCAATTTATCTACGTATTCAGTGCGGCAAAATACGTATCTCGAAGAAATTACGTACTTCACACTTCCCCGGGTGCACGCCGCGATGGTGAACAATGTCTACGATGTGAATCCAACGACGAGACATTCGTACGATTTCGAAAATAAAAATCCGTCCACACCGTTTACAAATGGTGTTGTCCCGCGAGGATTATTTTTCTTCGTTTCAACGGTATCGTTGCAGTTCTCGTAGGACACGCGGTTGGTGTATATTATTAGAGACCCCGTAAAAGTATCTCTGCTAAAATATCCTATCATTTTTTCTCTTTGGGCCAATAACACTCGCACCAAAAAAAAAAAAAAATCAACTTTGGCGCGTGAGGCTGTTACGACACTGGTATGATTTTACGAAAAACACGTGTTCGGGGTGAAACCAGTGCTCGACTTGGGAAAATTAAAGAAGGAAAGACTCTGTTTGCTTAAAGAAAAAATTGCGTCCTCAAAACTTGTCAAGCGTTATATAATTGTAACGTAATAATAGTAGGAAGACGCTAAAATTTCTTAAAATTAGAAGGGGTACACCGTCTCCCTGCGTCCGCCCCACTGGGTAAAACCTTAGGTGCGCTCGAATCGAGTGTAGGTTTCGTTTGGGTTTTAGTAAAGTTTCGAAGTCAGTAGTAGAGGGTACGGTCCAAGAACAGTACACGAGAAACGAGCGAACGAAATGCACGTCGGGTTCGACCGGACCGCAATGGGATCAAGTGCGCGGTTCTGTGCAAATTAATCACTCGACCACGCGTCTTGTGCACGGGACACCGTTGCGCAACGCGATCAAACGTATCACTCGCTCGGCAATCGTTGAACAATTACGTTCGATAATGCGCGTTTGATTAAGCGCGTTCGTGGTATAAAAAGTTGCGGTCGCAACCTAAGCACGAACCTTGTAAAAAAATTTAACGATTATTATTATTGTAATTATTGACGGAGCGCGCAATGCAGTGCAGTAAATCGAAATTAAATTTATATCGGCTTTCCGTGACTGCGTTTTCAAACGTTGTTCATGACGTTACACAACGTTTATAATACGTTTACCTACACGTAACGTTTTTTAACCGCTGACCACGACCGTTATACGGACGCGCATTCCAAGATCGGTTATCGTCTACCGTTTATCATCATGTACGGTGTACAATAAACGGTTCTGGTCACCGTCGCCTTTTATGTAAGCGTTTAATCGATTCAAAATCGAAAATGTAAACGGGCTCGAATACCTTGGTTAGGAAATAAAAAAAATAAAAACGAAAACAGTAAACATCCAGTGATTTTGAGTTGGTTTCTTTTTATTATTATCATTATTATAACTGTTTTAATTATCTTACACGAGAAGTATTTGGATTATAAATACACAGATCATTTGTTTCACGTTCATAATTAAAATATATTTTATTCCTAATAAAATAATAAATAATGTATACAAAATTATGTTATAAAGGACGATTGAGCAATAAAAACAAACGGCTAATTCAACATAACCACGAATTAATACAATAAAATAATCATATACTATACTGGTTTAATACAAAATATTGCACTTACTTTTCAATAGGTAGGTATATTTATTTAACGTCTAGAATAATTTATGTTCAAAAATTACGTATACGTCTGTAAAACTATTAGGCTACGTAAATGTAAATCTCTATACGTGTTCTTAATAATATAGGTACACAAATTATACGAAAACTGTTATAATTAAATGTTTTTTTTTTTTTAAATTATTTTAATTTTTTTTTTATCATAAACACGCGAGCGTATTTTACTTTCTACAATCGATCAAATTGTATACACGACTGAAGTTTCTACACGTGTGTTACATCTGGGAAAAAGTAATTATACTCGTATATGAAGATTTTAAAGTTCTTAGCGTTCGCCGTTTCATTTAAGTTATAATTGTGTAATTAAAGTGTTTGGAAAAAAAAAATCTCTTAAACGAAATATAAAATAAAGGCTATATAACAGCTAAAAGTGCTATTCAGTCAAGCGGTAACCTATATTGTACTTCAACTAATATTCGTGAACTTAAAATGTATAACATTATGTACAATTATTTTTGAAACCGGTAAACACGGTGGTGCCGATTAATCGGTCGGTGTACCCGTGCAACGGTCGCGTTAGAAGAGGATTAAAAGAATAAACACCTAAACATGTTTTTGAAACGTTGCGAAACGCCTAAGACACAATACTATATATTGTACTAACTTAATTATTATTACTATTTTACACGTATTATTATTATTATTATTATTCTATGCTCGTTCAGTCTAATAGAGCCCGGATGGAAAATCCGTGAGCTTTCCCGTGGAAACAGACGTGTTGATATGGCGCAACGCTTTCAAGGGACCGATGTCATCGGGACTGTTGCCGCCTGGCTGGCACGTCTTCGGACGACCTGCCACCGCGGCCACCACTGGATCCCTGCCCGCGCCCTTGTAGCCGGAGTATAGTCCTGCGATGTTACGACCCCGGGTCACGAACACCTTGGGTTCGTCAGCACCACCGCCATCATCCCTGCATCCCTTCGGCAGGTAAACTGATCGCTCGGACGCGCACAGGTCGAATCGGGTAACTGGCATGCGGTTGAAACCTTCACCGCCAATGGCTACGTTCCTCGTGCTCGCCGATCGCGTCACCTGCGCCACCGAGCCCTTTGCTGGTGGCCCAAACACGTCGTATATGGACTTCCGTCTGCATCCCTGTGACTCCCCCACGTCCTGCATCTCCCACTCCGGACGGTCCGCGTGCAGCGCCAATGCCGAGAATCGCTTGATCTGCTTCTGCGCGTTGCGGAACGTCTCGTTCCGTTGAAGCGCCGCGGTGCACTTGGCGTTGTTCTCCTCGTCCCCGTACGGGCATTCCGAGTCTTCCGCGCTCTCCTCGTCGTCCTCGAAAAACGGATTCACCTCGAAGTTTTTATTCGCCAACAGGCTCCTGGACCTTCTCGGCGGTTCCGGCACGATCCGCGTCGGAACGATGATCACGTCGTCAGGGTCCGAGTACTGCTCGTAGTACCGTTTCGAGTTGTCGCTACTTACCGACGACGACACCTGCCGGCTACCGCCGCCACCTGACTCCGTGGACGCGTCGTTGATCACCTTGTCGAAGTCCTCGAGCACTTCATCCACCGTCGTGTCGTTCTGTGACAAGTTGTACATCTTATATGACACTTTCACCTTCTTGCTCGTCGTCACCTCTTCTTCGCAATCGTCTTGTTCCGAAGAACTGATTCCCTCGTCTTCGGCCGAGTTGCCGCCACCCTCGTTTTTGCTGTTCTTTTCCGAGCTATTCGCGTGGTCCTTGCGTGAAGAAATTACACGTTTCTCCTCCTGGAGAAGCTGATTAACAACAAAGGCAACAATTCAATTATGTTATCGATCAATTAGTGCGGATTTCTATTTTAAGTTTAATAATATACTCACGTGAATTTTTTTTTCTAGCATTACTACTTTCTCTCTGAGACACTTTGCCTCTCTGATGACCTCGTCGTGTTGCCTTTTAAGTGACTCCACGTTTATGAAATTTTTCTGCCATCTGTATATCTCGTCCGAAACAGAGCTCAACAGTGGCGATTTGTTGGAAATATTCTAAAAACAAATGATTTCGTTATCTTGAAGCGATCAAACAGTTTTCGATTTTACTTACTTTCAGTATAGCTGCCGGTTTGAATCCAGCTTGTTTCAGTTCTGCTTGCACGTAGAATTTTGTCTGAAGATCCGGACACGTTTCCGTAAACGCGTTGATGAACTTAAGGCCGGCCAACAGCAGCTCCATACCGGAGCTACCGCTTCCCGACATCATGCCCACCAGAAATCTGAACCGGACGGGCTCGGCGAACCGAAGTCGCATCGTGCTCATCGCGTCCGACACCGTGTTGTGTCCTTCGGCCGTGCCCGATTCGCAGCACGCTTTGGTCAACAGCTACACAAACACGATCACGTTGTATATAAAAATTGCGAATAGCGAATGTTGTTTGCAAAGAAATAAATCGTTCCGACTGGGAAGGCGGGAGTGAAAATACGCGTACAAACCTCAAGGGTCAGGAGCCGGGACGAGTTGACCGTGCTCATGATGCAAGCGGCCAGCGTGTAGAGACCAGCCGACGATACGGCCAGTCTCCTAGCCGCGTCCTGGCACCGCAGGCAGTACTTCAAGCACTGCAGGCACGAGTTCTCGTCCAACGCGTTCCGGCGCTGGTTCGCGGGCGTGCACTTGGTCTGGGTGCCGTTCTGCTGGATGGTCTTCAGCAGCTCCAGCAGCAGCGTGACGCCGTCTATGGGGTCGCCGACGAACTCTTGCACGAAACTGAAACGGAAACAAATTCAAACCTGTGTGGGTTTTTCGAAAACGTTTTTCTCGTGCAACCCGACCGCTTTCGTCGAACTAATGCCAGACGGAAATGAAAACCCATTCGCCCGTACACTTCGATTTTGACGTACGCGTTTCGTCGTGACGATGTGAAAAAAACCGTTGTGTTCTATCGAGGATCCCTTCGCACGCGTATCCCTTTCGGAGTACGCAACCGCAACCCCCTTACGGCCAAGGTTACGAACCAACGCGCCGTGATCCCACGAACCTCAATATTTCCGTTGACCGCGGCCGGGAACGTTCTCGGTTTCATTCCGTTTTTTTTTCTTATTATTTTTGCAACGTACAATTTGTACCGTGTGCAGGCACTAGCCGCGTACCGACTGGCCGACATGCGATTCAATATTACCTTTTACGTTACGTTTTCATCACGTTCCCGCACGAAATTTAATGCGGTTCGTACCGGTTTTAGTGGTTAATTAATATTGGCAGTGTTATAACCGTTATCCCGCGTACAAGCCGGTCAGGTTTTTTTTTATTTATTTATTTATTTTTTATTCGCTCGCCGCGCGCACTAGGGCATTGGGGCTCTGCGCGCATTATTATTATTATTACGTTATAGTTTTTTTTTTTTTTTTCCGTCGGTGTCAAACAAGTATGTTTATACGCCACTATAATTAAATTTAACGTATTGATTTAAACAGCCACGATAACATCTTTTTATTCTAATGACCTACAAACCGAATGCAGCGTCGTATTTTAATAATTTTCATGTTCACAACGGTTTGCATACGTAGCAACAGTGAACGAAAGAACCGTCCGCGTCCAATGTCAATTACGTATGGAAGCCGACCCGTACTCTGAATACGATTAATTTTCCGTTACGCGCATTTGTAAACGAAGTGAACGTCACTGGAAATGCTAACAGATGATCATGTTTTGTCAACGTTTTCGATCAAGTGAAAATCTAATTTCCGTTGCACGTCGTTTGTACAAGTTCTACTTAACAACGGTGCAGGACGACGAAAACCGCTGATCGCAATACAAATATACAGAAAAATTGATCAACGTAATACGACAACGGATCAGTTAAATTCGTTTTTTTTTTTTTTGCGGAATGTTTAAAAATTTGGTTTTTCCTATTTTCGACACAGAACACTCACGAACCGTGATCCGTCAAAATTAGAACTCTGGCTACGAATAACGTTACGTTAAACCGAAAATGTAGTTTTTACATAGCCAATTTATTGATCGAATCACTGGGAATATGTATTAGAGCTATATTATGTTATAATATTATATGTTATAATATTGCTATATTATCTATTTTAGAAACCCATAGATCGGTGGGTATACTTGCAGTCCATTGTTTATTTTTTTAACGTTCAACAGCACATGAGTACGGGATTGAATGGTAGTTTAATTCTATCATTTATATTTATCGATGATACGCTCGCTCCGTTTTTGGTAATCGATTTCTAGGAAATTTATCAGAAACTCCGTGCAATTTTTATAGCCCAGGTCAGGCGGGGCCTTGAATATTATAAATATTCTATTGATAGTTAAGTTCACAAAGAATTAGTCGATGTTGTCATGGGTAGCAATTAAATATTATGTTTTGCACAACGCGCGTGTTAAATAATATACGTGCTTTGGTAGTAAATTGTTTTAGCTCGTTTTATTGTATTGTGACGTTCTCCTCAACCAGAGTTAATTGTCTGCAAATCATCAAACAATTATTTTGTGAGAAACAAGAAAGTAATTATTTTTTAAATTTATAATTTGTATTTCTGTAAATCTTTGAATTTCGCATATTCATAACTTTTTATTATTATTTAATTTAACTATTTAAAAACGAATCGAAGAATTTGCGAGTATTGCGAAATTATTCTGAATTATTCTTTGTAATTTTTTTTTTTTTAATTAAAGTGTGTAATATGGTTTCATATATACGAAAATTATCAAAATATAATGGAACTTAGTACATGGATTTTGCTAATATTTGCTTAGGTATATTTAATAAGATTTATCTTTAGACATTTAAAATTATTCTACAACATTAACGGCATACTATATCAGATTATAAAATCGTTGTAATTAATCGGATATCATATTATTTTCGTAACTCAAGATTTTGAATAACATTATCAGATAATATTTGGAAAACCGCGCTAGTTTCAGTGCATTCATATAAGTTCATTCGTTTTTCTTTTTTTACAAAACACGTTAAATTGCCATTGATAAAATCGCTCCAAGTATGCACAAATGTAACTCTTTATCAAGAACAAAAAGTAACTTTATTCGGTATTTACCTGAAATACGCGAGTTTTAAATCAGCGCTAAGCTTTTCCAGAAGTTCCGTGATTGACGTGAACTCTTTCAGAGTCATTTCGGTTTCTTTCGCTTCCTGCGAATCTCCATTGTTGCTATCGGACGTTGATCCTCGTTTTCCGAATTTGCGCAACGATCCGGCGTAGTCTTCCACATTATATACCGGTGGCCTTGGCTGATCCTGCGATAATAATACCAAATATCAGTTATCTTGATAGAACATTCACAGTAAAAATAAATAAATAAATAAAAGATTAACACTGCAACGGACATAAGCCGGTAACGAAAAAAAAAATGGATTATAATATGAATGATATTTGTGGTTTTGTGTCGTTCTCGGAGTTTCGAACACGAAAGAATAATTTTTAAAAGATGAAATATTTTATCATACTATGGGGAATAAAATGCAAAAATCGTGTATTATGCATAAAATATTACACTAAATATAAATCTCACTTTTAAAAAACGTAGTACCCAAGCATGGGACACGCGAGACAAGGTACCTCTTTCGCGGTTACAAATCCGGCATGACTTCATGATCAAGCCGCACACACAAGACTAAACGGACGTAATTTTGTGTTTTAATAATACAAACGGTTGTTGTATATAATTGCGTATCCCCGGAAAGTTGGATTTAAAATAATATAATGATTTCACTTTTCCGCTCCTTAATGAAGAGAAAAAGAAACATAGGCATTTTTTTTTTTTTTATTATTATTATTCTAATGCCGTGGCTCATACAGTGGTTATTATTACGTGATTACAGCTCTGGTTCAGGATCCCACGATACACAAATGAATAGGACTATTTTATTATTTTGAGAGCGAATTCCGCTGTGTATTTAGTTATATGCGTTTGGATGCCAAACCTCTAGCTGTTATAATTATCATTTTATAACAATAAAAATAATAAAATAAAAAATATGAAAAACCCAACCGAGTATAACTCACTTATGGGAATTTCTCATATACCTAATTTCTACTCGTTCATTACTCAACACCCAGTAACGCCATCCTGCCATTTTGTACTACGTCGTCCTTCCTGGGTGAATCTCCCTTTGTTTCGTTATTCCCTAACGGTATTCGATATAACTGTACCGAATAACCCTATTGTATCCATATGTGAGACGAACATGGACGGATTACATAGTGAAAACATTGTAACATGACATATGTCGTTTTAAAAGCCTTCCGATGGAATAAAATGCATAAATACAATGCGCGCTGTATGTATGTGTTTAAAATGGCCGGTATTAAATGATATATTCATCAAAAATAAAATAAAAAATACCATTGTTCTTTTTCAACAAAAATATTCTACAATAATACACGGGCGCCTACATCGATAATAAATGTTACGTACGTATACACACTTATTATAATAATATGTTACATATCTATGTGCAGGGCCGGCCTTAGATTTTTGCCGCTCTTGGCAAATCTAATTTACGCTGCCCCTATTAAACAGTTAATTTTTGGCGAGAAGAAGAGTACATGTCAAATAATGATATTCGATAAACACTTGTTATTATTACGAGAAAAAAAAACGTATTGAGTGGCCTATGTTTTCTATAAAAAATATAACAATAAATGTTATGAAAATAAAACAAGTCATTGTATAGAAACCGATATTATACAGTATTTATACTGTATCTCATACAGTAACAATAAGTATTCAATTATTAGTTGAAAAAATATTATTACAAAATTAAAATTATATAAATACGAGTACAGTTTGTTTTGTGAGCCTTTTCGTGTGCAAAATCGATCAATACATTTTAAACTCAAGATTTTTCGCCACTTCTTTTTCCATTGAAACTATAGAAAGATCACTTAACTTTCTTCGGTTCATAAAAGACCTCAAATAGTTTTTAATTATTTTTAACTTGAAAGAATTCCACTTGCCCGATGCGACCGATACAGATATTGTTAAAAAATAATTCCAAAAGCTACAGCTACGTTTGATACAAAATTGTCATTATTTATAATAAACTGTTACACTTCCAATGAATTATTATTGGAGTTTTAATAATTCGGATAACGTTAACTCATCCGTAATTTACATTGAATTCATATCTGATTTACTAAGATCTTCATTTTCTGAAAGTAGCAATTAAATAACCATACAGTTTTTCGTAATATTATCTTTTGTTATATTCTTCAAATTAGGTTTTTATGTCGTACAAAAACTTAAAGTTATCGCTGTAGTTATGCATTTTTTGAAATCTTACTTCCAGATAACTGATTGCTGTCTAATTTAAAATTGAGTTATAAAATTACAACTCACCTTCAAATTTAGTTTCTAAATAAATTATGAAGTCTCAATCACATCATCGGTAAACGAAACATTATTGTAGCCTATATTAAATGTTTTTATTTATTTTATGTTTAATATTTTTCATTCGAAATCTGCCACCCTTACACTAGTGCCAACCTATTTTACTACCGCGAGGGACCGGCCCAGCGTATGTGTATACTTAAAATAGTAATAAACATCTTGGTGCATATGAACACCGGATACGTCGACATTTCAATTAATAACAAACAATTAAAGTAATTCTGAATCTTTTTTTGGTAGCTTATCCGATTCAAGTGCGACATTTAACCATCCGTGCTAAATTGTATTCGACTTTTGTACACCGTCTGCGACGTTACAATATACGTTGATATGAAATTGTCATAGAAATATCGTTATAATACACCTACTCCTTGTTGAATGTGCCGATGGGTATGATTAAGGATATAAATTATCATAAATTTACGGCGATTCTAATTACCACAGCGGTACGTGGAATAATCAAAGATATTAAGGTTTACCCGTAATAAATTAGTGTGTAAATTAGGTGTGAATAAATTGTCAGGTACACACGCGTAAACGCATAAATGTACCGTCCAAATAAATTTCGTGATTTTCCTAGTGATAATTAATTATATTGTGAAATATCTTCCGTGAATAATACAAATATATCCAAGTTCGACAATATCTGTACGCGTAAGCTATGTTGAGAATTTTTAATTGTATATACGTTGTTCGTGTATCGCGGTACACAATCTTCAACACGCGATGTTTACGACGACATTTTTCCAATCTCTATCGAAGATTTATCACTCTAACAATCGCCAATAACTGTTTTCGACCAACGTCATTGAGCGAAAACACTAACACGTATATGTGTATAGTGATAAAACGTTTGGTGATTTTATTCCAGCAATAGAAAAAATATTAACATTTTACAAATACTCGATGTAAAAAGATATATTTTATTTAATCACAACTGAACAGTGACTTTTAAATGCAATTTGCATTCATACTTTACGTATTTTACTCTCGTATGGTAATAGTCTAACACAGTGGTTCTCAAACTGTGGTACGCGTACCCCTTGAGAATACTCCAGATTTTTTAAGGGGTACGAGTCTGGCCAACAAATCTTTAAATTTGAATTATTTGTGTGGAAAAGGTTATTCAAGTTTAAAAGTAAATATAGAAACAAGTAAAACGTTGAAGATGATTTAAGATTGTATTTAACTAAACTAGAACCCAATATAGATCAACTGTGCCAACAAAAACAAGCTAACACTTCTCAATAATTTTTTTTTTTTTTTTTGAAAGTAAACTCTTTTGTTTTTAACATTTTGTGTGTATTAGTTTTTAATTAAATAAAAATATAATTCAGTTTTTAAATATTTTTATATTTATTTTAGTTTTTCTAACTAAGAAGGGATACACAAAAATGTTTATTGCTAAAAAAGATTATAGTGTTTATAAAAGTTTGAGGATCTCTGGTCTAGACACTAGCATTATCACTAACAAACCTATTCTAATATATTTTAAAAAAATGTGTGTGCAGTCATATAAATTGTTGTAGTCGAATGCATATAATGAAATTATGTCAATAGGATAATTTTACATTGATCATTCACATTCTCCGTAATAAACATATTTTACTTTTTTTTTACCTCATTACCTAATCGGGATAGTTATTGAACTAGTTAAAAAGTAAGGCTGATTTTTTAAACTACGTTTCACGCAATTTTCTTTGAAACGCTTGCAAAATATATCGTATACAAGTACTTTTATTAGTAATTATACTTTTATACTTGACTATTATACTTGACGGATGACATTTAACGTTTATAATTTCACTAACCAAAGATCACCATTCATAATCCGAACAATTGTACACAAACAATATGTTAAATCCTAAATAATTTTTTAACGAAAACAACAAAAGAAGAAGAACTCATAGACGTGAAAGTAGTTAGCACGTCCATTTTCATTCAAGTCCATAGTGGATACTATTAATATTATTATTATTAATACACGATTTATAACATTATTATGTCGTTCAAAAGTAATTCTAAGGACATTTTCAATCATACACCAATCATCCCGATTGTTGGAGTAAAATTGTTACGATATCATCAATCACAGTTAAACAATTAAACACTACATATAATAGTGTGTCTGTGTACCAATCTGTTTTAATAAGCTTAAATAGCGCACTAATTATTTGTTCCTAAAAATAAATAAACATGTCATACTTAAACGAGTAATTTGTGGATCTTAGACATAACTATAATACATAAGTACAATACATATTATTTCAAACCGTTGAGTGCTTGTAGTGAAATCGCTGCGCCAACTCAAACAAAACTAAAATCAAAAGATTATATAAAAATTAATTTAAACTGACAATGAATAAGTACTACGTCTGAAGTGTGTACGGTCGACTAATTGTTATGCGATAATGTAACGTGAATGATTAATTGATAATAATATCGTGGTGCATCGTTTAAGTATATTATTATTAATATGTATTTGTTTAGAATGTTTCAAACGAAGAACGCGATGGAACGATTCAAAACGATGAATTAAACGCTGTTATACAACTTTGACATAATGGACTTGATAGTACAGATTTCGTTTGGCATGACATTAGAGGACAATAGGCGTGTTTATCCGTTCGTTATAGGATAAACGCGCGTTACTATCAATAGCGCTTAATTTAAATAGAAAGTGGTAAGACTAATATCGAGATGAATTTAATTATTTGTATATACGGTCGAGCACAATGTATTGTTCGATACAACACTTACAAATCGAAAATTTATAGGCCCCGAGAATAAACGAACACATAGGGCACTCCGGAGGATCAAGTACAACTTTGTATGATATTTTTA